TGCCGCCCGGGGCCCTGCCGATGACCGGGCCGACTGGCGCTGCACAGCCGTCGCCGTGTCCTCCTCATCCTCGTCCGTGTCAAGGGCCCGCTTGTGGCTGCCGCTCCCTGTGCTGCCGCGGCCGGCGCTCGCGCCGCTGCCGCCACTGCTGGCGGCGCTGCCGCCGCTGGTGTTAGAGCGGCGGCGCCCACGCGGGGGCTTCGGGCCGTCCAGCACGTTGTAGTAGATACTGAAGACACGGTTCGCCACGGTGCTGGTGGTGCACTGGAAAGTGCACGCGCCATTGTTCTGCAGTGGGGACAGCGCATTTGGTTGTTAGCGGATCTATAATGAAGACAATTGTATGCGGGGAGAGCTCTAGAAAGTGGCGATGCGCGAGGGTCATTGCAGTGATCGTGTCCCTTTATCCCCATCCGATTAAAATTCGGGAATCCTAGCGGTCCAACCAAATCGGACCCAACCATCCTGCGCACCTTGAGACGCTTCTTTAATTCGGCGAGAGACAGCTTTTGCTCCTCCCGACCGGTAGGATTCCCGATTTTAATCGGATGGGGATAAAGGGACACGATCGCTGCAATGACCCTCGCGCATCGCCACTTTCTAGAGCTCTCCCCGCATACAATTGTCTTCATTATAGATCCGCTAACAACCAAATGCGCTGTCCCCACTGCAGAACAATGGCGCGTGCACTTTCCAGTGCACCACCAGCACCGTGGCGAACCGTGTCTTCAGTATCTACTACAACGTGCTGGACGGCCCGAAGCCCCCGCGTGGGCGCCGCCGCTCTAACACCAGCGGCGGCAGCGGCGCGAGCGCCGGCTGCGGCAGCACAGGGAGCGGCAGCCGCAAGCTGGCCCTTGACACGGACGAGGATGAGGAGGACACGGCGACGGCTGTGCAGCGCCAGTCGGCCCGGTCATCGGCAGGGCCCCGGGCGGCAGGCCTGCCCCCGCTGGCGCCGCGCGCGCGGACTCAGCCAGCGGAGACGGGCATCAGCGCGGGGACGGCTGGCATGGCGGCGGTTCAGCTGGAAGACGATGAGGACTACTGTGTTATTGTGGAATAGTCATATAGCGTGTGTATGTTTGGTAGCTGTGTTGAGACATTAGCCCCTTTGTGTTTTTAGAAACTGAACCGTGAGCGAGGGTGTTGACCGGCGAGCCGTTATCCCCGTTTTTGTTTGTTTAACAACATGTGTTTTGCTTTTCTGTTTTGTGACGATGGCAAACTTTACTGGCATTGCGTCGCGCGACGCGTGGTTTTCGCGATGCAAGCAGATGGCTCGGGTCCAGGACAAACTCCATGGCTTTGTTTATTTCCGTTCACAGCTAGGTTCTCTGTATTCCTATAAGTCTATTTCTGTGATTTCTGTGCCTGAGCCTGTGTCCCAGGACGGTTGCGCTTTCATGGCACCGGCAACTGTGGTGGCGCCTTGCAAGTTCAGTTCAGTTTTCTTGAATATAATAAATAAAACATCACAGTACTAGAGAAGCAGTTTGTTTGAGGAAGTACATGAAAGCGGTACCAACTAACTCCAGGGTGGGGCTGACTTCGAGTCAGGGCCCCCAGGACTGCGACCAAAAAAATACCTCGCGCGCTGGTGGGCTGCACGAGCCTACAGCGGCATCTACTCACGAGCGGCTTCTCCGGCTTCCCTGCCGGCAGTGTTGACAGTCCCCAGCTTGAGCCAGGGACTGGAAACAAGCAAAGCACGGTCGGACTTGTCGGCCGCGGTCGCAATGGCTACCTCAGCCAGCTTCCGCGTGTCGGAGTCTGCGCCACACGGCTTGGGTGCCACCGTTTTCAGACACCTCTTGGCACTGGCCCATTTGTCCCTGGTGTCCCTGCGGGTGCGGAGCAATGCTTTATGTGACCCTTGGTTCTGTAATTCTGAAAACACCGCGCGCCCAATGTGCCGCAAGCGCCACTTGCCCAGACACGCAGGCTTCACCTTCCTCACAACGCATTCCTCACAGTATGATTATCACTGGTCATTGAACACCAGGGGCTGGTGGTTGTGTGACGGCTCAAATGACCCTTGCATCCTTCGGTGTGTGTAGTTTGAGCAAAGGACTAAGGAACAATTAGGTAAAGCTTGCGTGAAAGGACAAGTAAGTAGCTTGAGGAATGGACAAGTTGATCTAGTGATTGGATGGATCGGTATATTATATATGTTGTCTTGGAGTGTACGGTCACTCGCGGACAAATTTCACGGTGCCGCTGGAAATGGACAAATGGTTATCACCTACCTTCCAGATCCGCAGCCAGAACATCACAACAGCCTGGCGCCCAAATATCGACCAGCTTACAAGCAGCTACGAACGGAGGTATTAGCGTGTCACCGTTTGCAGCGGCTCGTGTCGTCAGGGCTGTCGTTTGTGAGCGTGCTGGATCAGGACAGCTTTTTGTGCTTTTTCAGTTTAGAGCGCGCTGATCAACAAAACAGGCCACGCGCCTTCGGCACGTTTCTGCTAATTTATTGCCGTGACCTCTTGGCCTCTCGACACCGAAACGAACAAGTCACAGACCTTGACGGGAGCACGGCAACACGCTGTTTCGCTTTGATCCCATTTTGGTTCTAATGTCAGAAAGGTCCAGTTGCTCCAAGAGTTGTCAGTGAAGAAGATAGACCCCCAGAACCTTCTAATGAGGCGGCCTAAGCCACCTTTACGGGCTGCTGGCGTGTATTTAGACGAACACCCATTACCCCATTACAACAGCCGCGCCCGCGAAGCTCGACATAGGCGGACCTTCCGCGTATGATTGTTGTTTGATGGGATCGGATGCATATGCCCCGGTCGCCTAGTACAGGGCGTTGCCTCCAGGAAAAACGTACTTAGATGACTTCCGCTGCCAAGATCCGTTCTCTACGGTCCAGTACCGCCAACACAAGCTAGCTATTGAACTAAATATAGTCTAAGGCAAAGATGCGTAACTGCCCCTGGGCCATCTCGTAAATGAAATCTTTCAGAGCTTCGGGTAGGTGCATTCGGGTGATGGAACGTCTGAGGAGCTTGAAGGCCCGCCGCCGCCATTGGCCCCAGCCGAGGCAGACGCTGCAGAACACAGCCACGACCAGTCCGTCTTACCGGCAACCCACTTCAAAAACAGCTGATTACACTATTGAATGTGTGACAGCTGTTTAGTAAGTTTAACAGCCAATTTCAACCGGTCAAGAGCTGGTTGCGGATTTATGTATGTAGACGCCCTGTAGGTTGCCTTGCATTTCGAATGAAGTGGCAATACAACAGGCCCTGCTGCCGTATGAGTGATGCTTTGGCGTACTACTGACCCTTCGGTATACGTCCCCGGGTAACGTCATCGCTACCGAACAACGCCCAGTTAGACGACACCCCTACCTAGCCATCTACCTGGAACGAGACAAGCAGTGTTAAGTAGGTAGATAGGTGGTCATCCATGCAGCTAAATTTTAGATGGGTGCCAGATCCAGATCCATCCAGGCCTACCCTCCGTACAGTGGTTGTAAACAACTACCTGCTGACAAATCACGACGGCGTGCATTTTTACAAATTACGTTCGATCAATATACGACACAGCGTCGCACGCGTCATCATACATGAAATGTCCTCCATCTGTGTGTATGTAGGGGCCGAGGGCGGATTGAATGGGATACATAGACGCATAATTACGATATGCGGCCAGGTTAGGGCTGGGTGGCCTTTCACACGTACAAAACTTCCCGATACTGCGCACACTGCATCATGAAGTATGTCCGCGTGTCGAGAACGTAAAACCGCCATCGGTACGTCAATCCGTTGGAACACTGTCCACTTATGTACAGCAGGGTCATCATGCAGCTCGCATGCATCATCTCGTGTATGTGGGGCAAACCTAACCGTGGCTAACCGCTATGTACATGTATACTACAGATTAGGCACTACTGGTAAGGCACAAACCATGGCCCCTGGGAGATCCCGGGATCGAAACCTGTCAGGGTCGAAAATTCTGTCGATGGTGGAAGGTAAAGTACCCCTAGTCGATGGACAGTGGTGACCTGGGATAAAGTTGACTCACGACCCGATGAGGAATAGAGTTGGGCCGCTGTCGACCCGGCAGATTCCGTTGGATTACTGGTGGTGGGTGCGGAATCTAAGCAATCCACTGAGAAGTTGACCGAGGTGATTAGATGAGGGTGCCCCGAAATACCGGGGAAGGCAGGGTTTCGCCAGGTAGCGGCAACGGGTGAAGCCCCCCTGTCCCACACATCATACATACATAAATACATTCATACAAAACTACATGCCTTGTTCAGTTGCTTGGTCAAGAATCCTTACCTGCCTACCTACCCGGTCAGTTGACAACCCACGTACTACAGTCCAATTCCATGCGCGCCATGTACGGCACCTAACGCAACATACGTAGGGTTTGCCGCACACACCGCCATTCCATAAATGCTGCATATTGTCATCGACCAACTGAACTTCTTGATCGCTTTCGTACATCTTCAACCAACCCTCTGTCACGCCAAAACATCTGGAGCGCACAAATTACGTGCCACGACCGAGTTAGTCGCTATCCGCAGGTGGCTAAGCCAACCGAAGGTAGTAAGGCGAACCGCGTATTGATTTAATTGAGACTTTGGGTGTTGCCTGACTAGCGTATAAGGCGCTTTCCGTTGTCGTTTGAGGATGTTCAATTGTCGTTCATCTGTCGTTAGTCGGATGAGCGTTACGTATCCAGGATAGGGCCTCGTGTGATAAGGCCCGGCGTGGATCAGTCGATACTTCGCCATAAATGCGAGTGCGAAGAGGCCAAACATTTGTCGTTTGGCTCTCGAAGCAACTCTTCGTGAGCGTACAGACCATTGATTATTAAGGATAATATAATCATAGGAGGGTTGATAGGCCTGTTTTGGTGTAACAAGACTGTGATCCTACCCTACCTCGAGACGCGCATCAGAGCAGGATAGACAGAGAGTGTGTACACAGCATTCCATAAGGTCCGCCCTTAGTGCTTATACCTCTAGGCTCGACAGGGATCCGTTCCCAGCCCGTCCTCGCCTACCGCGATCGCGCTCATCAAGTTAACGAAGCTGGAGTGAGCCAGCCGAATCAAGCCGGAGCTTTGAGGAAAGCTCCTATTGTATAATCATTTACCCACAAGTGATCCATCCGCATTTCTTATGTCTATTAGCACGTCATATGGCGTGACACCTCGTACGTCCATCCCCCATCCTACTATTCCCGTACTTCTCTCTCTTGTTATTAAAAGCAATTCCAGGAAAATTGACAGTCAGCATTTGCTCTTTACGTGCTCATTCTTTTCATCAGTTATGCACATGTCCGATCCTCTGCCGCATAGCCTAACAGCCGACAAAAGGAATTGCATGCAGCAGCTGCGGCAGCCGCAGGATCGAGTAATAGTAGTAATAGTCACCGCATGGAGGCGACACAGCTAGCTGGGGTAGCAGCTAGCCAGCTCACTGAAGTTCAGCCAGGGAGCTCCGGCAACACAACTCTACCCGCGAACCCTACACTGCGTGCGAGGCAGTGCAGAAGCGACCCCCACAACCACACGCATCAGGCCGGCACATGCAGAGAGTCAGCCACCACATCCACCACGCGTTCATTACCCATCGAGTGTGTTAAAAGTGCCAGTCGGCCAATACGAATATACACAGTATATGATACATCGACTTGACGGGGGCATGTCACGCGTGTATGCCAAGGCGTGGCAAGCAATGTGCACTGCGCCCACATATCTGCATGAGTGTGCGTGTGCGTGCGCGTGTGCGCACATAGCACATGTGTGCGTGTTTGGAGGTATACAAAACGGTATGCTGGTTCTGTCTTCAGCTGAGCTGTAGGGATACATAGGAGGCAGTGGCCTATGTGACGCCCATGTAGCTTAACCTATCCCAAGCCAGCCATTCGCTGTTACCGCACGATGGTGTTGCTCAGCGGGTTTGTCAATTCTACCTCCTGGCGGCCGACCCCGCCTGCTGGCACTCGTTGCTGCGCAAGACCCGAATCATTGCAAGCAGCGGCCTGGGGTCCCTCTTCCATTTGCTGCCGGATGTTGTCCTGCGCAAGAGAGGTATTAAACGGGGAAACGGTTGGCTGAGGGCACGATAGTGAGATTTATTTGTTGACGTGAAGGATAGCAAGGAGGCGGTGTGGGTTGCGGCGTCCTGACCTACCTCCGCTGTAAGCCGTCTGCCGATCTCCTGTTCAAGCTGCGAGACAAGGAAGGATGCCGTCAACGCAAAAGCCTTGCAAGGAGGAATACGTACCAGGCTCCGTGCGTTACTTACCTCGCTCTGTTGTAAGCGGTGCTCAGCCACTGCCCATTGGTACTTGGAGTTGTCTAGGCCGATAAGCCACCCCGCCCACTTGTCGAAACACAACCAACCTATCAAGGCCAGTGCTGGTTAAGTTTTTAACTTCTAAAAGATTTCCTTTTACTTCGTGCCTCTCACCTCTCTGCAGGCGTTCAAGGACCAGCCAACCTAGCGACTGCCATGTCCACTTCTGCTCGTTGGTATCCATTACGGTAGCGATTAAAAAAATACAACAATACTCCTAAGGATTTTTAATACATGGCTTGAAGCAGCGGCTCTGTAGAACACCGCCAACGGAACTCCGTCACTGCATTATTCCACAAAAGGCAGATTCTTAGCTATGCCGCATGGACAAAGATCTTACCCCACAAGCAATGGGTAGGGTAACGACTAGATATATCTTGAACTTTGGAGCTGACTACAGTAGATAGTATTTGCAGCTCGACTCCATATAACAGAGAAGTGTGGATTTTTACGTGTAATTGGTAAACGGTTTATTGAATGCACTATGTTAGGTAGGAATACTTGACACATGAGAGGAATCGTACGGCCGAAATTGCAAGGGGCGGAAGTCACTCCGAATTTTAGATAATCATTATTTGCAAAGTCGAGAGGAACGATGTGGAAGTGTTTTGCATGGGGAACTAAACTAAAGGCCCGATCAGGATGCAGGAGTGCGGCTAAAGACAGAGGG